CTGAGTCGATGAATACCCTATAACAGTAATCTAGATTGAATTCTTGTATTTCGAGGCTGATAGAAGTTTTCTCATGAATGACACAATTATCTCAAGAAAGCTATGACCCTGTCCACGGAATGACGAATCCATGTGATCAAAACAGCTTAATAGAAAGACAGAAACTCAAGAATTGCCGATCTGTGAGGCATATTCTTACTACCCCATCACCGCTCATTGTCAATCAACAGCATGTTTACTAATAATTTCCACACCTCAATTTGCGTATAATTTTTTTATTTGGCATGATTCGTTTTGTTCTCTTATTCTTTTTTAATAAGCTGACTATAAATTTACACATGGTGTATGGCTGGACATGGTTTAGGGATTTAATTAATTCTCTTCTTGAATTAACAACCTGCATCTGATGTAAACATACCTCATGAGTTGACTTCAAATTTTTTTTTGTTGGTGATTCTTGAAAATGTCAGGGAAATTGCTGGAAGTAGCTTGTAGAATGCTTCAAACTATTGGACGGGATTCGCAGTTTACTACATGTCAATGAAGATACACAAATAAAGTCTCAAGATGAACATGAAACCCTGTAAACAGTCAAAGGTAGTTCAGTAGCCGAATTCTTATTGTTCCATTTACAGTTTGGTAAATATTGAAATTGTGGACGGAATCTATATAACGACTTGCATCTGTATCCCAATCCTTGGTAACTTGTATAGATTTTTACAATGGTAAAAAGATTAATGGAACTTCGTAAATGACTTTGAGTCCTTGTAATTTGCATTCTTGCAAACTCTCTTTGCAACTCTCTCCCTTTTTTTCTAATGGTAGAAATATAATAACTTCGTATTGAAGAAAGTTTGGATGAGGGCTAATGATGGGTACTTGTTGAATTTGCAGAGTTGTAGGAAGAAGAATCTTTTGGTGTAATAGAAGAAAGAAAGGGATCGCTTGTAATGGCTTGATTTCCTGAAAATCCCAGAAAGCAGATAAGGGAGAGCTTGTGGGTTTATTTTGTTATAAATACTGTAATTACATATCATTTTTTAATTATTTCATTATGTAAGATTCACTGTCACTGTATGCATGAACAACCATGTAAGTCTTTCTTCCTGTTATTCTTCATATCACGGGTTATGTCCTTTTTTTTTTTGCCAGTTTGTGCATCGGATGCTTGTGAATCAAATTTGGACCTTGTCTATTTCTCTCTTTTTTCTTCCTCCACTTATTTGATTTCTGCTGAAAATGTTCCGATGTGGGTTCGATCATCGCAGCCGACATACTACAGCCTTTGCATATGTTGACATATAGCACCGAACGATGCGATCAGGGCCGTCTGATGGTAGTCAATAATTTGATGGTGGAATGGGAATAATTAGTATTGACACAGTTGGTGCTGTCTGTGTTGATGTTATAATAAAAAGAATGAGATAAACATGATTGACCTTCCATTTGTAATCTTCTTTGAGCAGGTTTGATGTTGAAGAAAAGTGGAAACCAGACAAATAATTCTTCGTTTTCCTGGTGGGTAAATGCCAAAAAAAGGAATTGATAAATGCCAAACAATGAACAACTTGTTATTTATCTCCTTCCCCCATGTGCTTATATATACTTTATAAATACAACTAATTCCCATTACCAATATATATATATATATATATACATACATACACACACAAAATAAATATTATGTTGTGAGTAGATCTTATTAGTTTGTGCAAAAGATGTAATGCAAGTGCAAATTAGTAAAAAAAAAAAAAAAAAAAAAAAAAAAGGAAGAAAGAAAGATAATAAACCATTGACCTTTAAAAAAAAAAAAACGTTTCGCTAAAATCTTGTTTGGTTGTGGATTATTCAACGAGAGATGGCTGGATAAGTCTTAATCCATCCCATCCGACATAAGAATAGTGCACTCTTTTTTTCTCAGGTAGGACAGTCCTGGTTTGGAGACAAATTACCTTGTGGATCCAAAACGACGTCAGATTGACTGTTTATTATTTGCCGAGGGCAAACATGCGGTGTGGTGCGTACAAAAATGTTCACCATGACGTGCATCTTTTCCAACACAAAATATTAATATTGCAACAGAAAAATTAAATACACAATTTTAATTAATTAACAAAAATAAATAACATCAACGTCTATTAAAATAAATATAAACTACATTAAAAGAAACTTATAATATGAAAAGAAATATACAAATATGAATGAGTAATTGAATTTTTTCACCCATTGAAAAATGATTATTTTTTTTTAAAAATTAAATTAAATTATACATATATATATGTGTGGAGATGCCATGAAAGTAAAAAAAAAAAAAAAAATTGGGTATTAAATTTTATTTTGATTATATAAATATATATATATGTTTGATACACTTTATGATATTTTCGAGATAAATTATAAGAAGTAAAATTTTTTAACAATGAAAAAAGATTAGAAGACTCACGAGAGTCAAGGCTTTTAAGAGAAATAATTGAGAGGCAAAAAATCAGAAGTGGGGTGGGGGGACACTTGGGTTGCTTTGCTTTCGTGAAATGATTGTAACAAAGAAAGAGAAAAAAAAAAAAAAAAAAAAAAAGAGAGAGTACAAATTGTGTGGTGGCATGAGTTGACAAGCTACATCTCCCTTTTAACTAAAAAAAATAAAAGTGCTTCTTACCTACTTATTTTAATATCTAGCTTTTTATAGAAGATCAATAATTGATATATAATCATAAATGGCACAACTTTCTTGCGATTCTTCTTAAGAGACAAGATATAAAATAATGGTAACTTGGGTGAATTGTTTTCAACGAGTTAAGCTTTGAAAAAATTACGAAATTGTCATTTAATAAGTTACGAGAGTCTCATAAATGAAGTTTATACATCCAATATATATACATACATATATATATATATATATAATTTAATAGATAAAAGTTAAAGTTACTTATGAGTTGGAGATTGACTAGGTGATTTAAGTTATACCCAACTCTTAATTAAGTTGGAAGAGAGCAAAAAAAAAAAAAAGCCCTTACATTATATTGAAAGATAAAATATGTTACTAATTTATGATAGTAATTTTTATAATATCAATGTATGCGACAATAATTATAATGTCGATAATAAGTAATTTAATAGAAGATTGTGGGCGATCAAATTTTTATGATCGTACCCTTAACGCCAATTACAATAACTATTACGAGAGACTAAATAAATAGTTTAAATTTAACACCAAAAGCTATAACACAAGTGCATTGCCAAGAGCTTACCAAAGGGGAAAGTACAATTCAAAGAAATTGGTAGTCAATTATAATTATTTTATATAGACACGTGCAAATTCTATATAATTCATGCCAATGGATTGGACTATATGATTGGAGGGAATGACCCGAAACCCAGTTTGGATGAAAGCGTCAAGTAGACATGCCGAACGGGTTGGCCCAATAAGGTATTGCGGGTCGGATGATTGTCTGGGATTTGGTCTGTTTTATAATAAAAATCTCTCAATTTTAATCCCATTTTCTTTAATAAATGTTATATAATAACTAAATGTATATATATATATATATAATATGATTGTAAAAAAAAAAAAATTAAAAGAAAATATATGTACCCAGAATTTCAATCTATATAGTAAAGAAGGAAAACAATAGAAATAGAGAAAAATAACCTAAGTACATAAATATATTTGTGATTCCTGTATTATTAACTTTTTGTTTATATATATATATATATATATAGTTTGATCTGCAAAGACTATAATTTACAAAAAATGCAGTTTACATTAAGAAACAGTTAAAATTAGGACAAAACAAATATGAATAAAGAATTTTGCCAAAACAATCTGGACAGAAATTTTGGGAAGGAAACATGATTACATTACTCTGTAGAGACATATATATATATATATATATTATATACCTTTAAATAATAATTCCCCAAAAAGAATGTCACAACTCATAAGCAACATATAATAATAATATGCTATTCACAACAGAATAGATTCAAGAATAAAGAACATCTATAACGCCTGACTTGTATATAATCTTCATTCTTCACCCGACTGTGACTCCAAGAGGCATGATCTCAGCATTGGCCAAACTTGAAATGGGTCCATCAGTCTGAGTAGGATTCATTTCAGCCATTGGAGCAGCTATGGCATCTTCAAGTTTGGGAATACTCGAAGAAAATGTCAGGTCGTCTATGGGTTTTGCAGTGCTTGCTGCTTCCTGGTTTTGGCTACATGCAGCGCTGGACTTTGGTTTTGGCTTGACTGGTTTTGCTTCGGTTTTTGTGTTGACGGGGCTATCCCGGGGATGAAGCTTGGATTGGGATTTCTTAAAAGGTCTTTTTGAAGCACCGGAATTGTCATTATCACCATTTGGTTGGATTCCCTTGGTAGAGTTGCTCTGTTCGCGGTTCAGATGTGGGCTAGCAGAAGGAACTCCAGCAACTTCTGGGGAGGTGTTTGTTGCAGCAGTGGAGCTTTTCTGTCTTCCAAGCTTCGGAGATTTAGCACGTGTAGTTGGTATCTATGAAGAAAAAAAGTGTAAGCAAAATTGATAAACTAGGACCACGAAAGCTAGTGTCTTTAAGCATTCAACATATAGAAATTGCATTTGTTTTTAACTAACTTTGTGGAGAAGCTATAAATAATAAAAAAATTTATTTTCTTCAGCAGTAGGTTATAGTTATTCTCTGTAGCTACCTCTCTCTATATTTTTCATGAAGATATAGGAGAGATTGAAAAAAGAAACATGAATATTTACTAAATCAAATACCATAACCAACCACAAAAAAGGCCTCATATAGCCTACTTGGGACACAAAAACTCCAAATATAGCCTATACCCGGGCGCAACTGTGATGCCTTAGAAACATCATATTTCGCAGGGTAATTTTTCTAATATTTTAGTTTAATTTAGTAACTTTGTACAGTAATCACCGAAAGTTCTATAGCAAGCAACATGGAAGAATGATGTCTCCGAAGCATTTAGAATATCCTGTCTCAATCAGTTATAGTTACCAGATTTGGGCACTCAGTACTTCTCACTTGTCAGGTTATCTCAGTTTGTACGTTTTGGTAAATTAGCAAGGTCCAAAATTTATACTCATATTGGAATACTGGCCTCATGGGTACAGTATAACAAAATGAAAAATGAAATTTATATCTGAACGGTAACTGCAGCTTCTGGGATCTCACAACGCAGAAAGAAGCAAAAGAAGATGTGTACATATATATATATATATATGGTTTACCTTCTTCAGTTCAACTTTTGGTGGAGGTTCTTTATAGAAGCTTGGCATTGGTGTAGCCTTAAATGTCAAGCTCTTTCTTAATTGTTTGATCTCCGCCTCCTGGTTCTCCTGCAAAGAGGCACCAGTGGAAGATAAGGGAAAATCTAAAGTCAATCAGAATAGCAAATTAGGACATCAAGTTTCCGAATCTAATTAATAGAGTTGATATTGGAAAAAGGGGTTTCTCTGGAATAGTTGGTTCCACAACCTTTGATTTTGCCTGCAAGTTATTTTTTTCAATTTCCTTAGCATGGATTTTCTCTTCCATCTTCAGGAAGAACTGAAAGATCAAGCACATAAATAAGTATACTTGCATATAAAATGAAGTTAGCAACAAAATGAAACCATCTCTATAGTCTAGGTAAGAAAAGGATGAGTAGTTTATTCAATACTAACCTCCTTTCTTTTTTCAGCACGTTCATCCAACCTGAATGAAAATCCAGACCCGCTGTTTCTTCTTCCATGTGTGGAAGTCCTGTTTTAATAAAGAGAATTACGAATATGCAATTAGATTTTGATAATTAGGTAAGAGAATGAATGCAATATCATGTAACACAGCGATTTAAGAATAGAAAAGTACGAAGTAGTGGAATGGGCGTCTTCATCGTCTTTGCTTGGCAAAGTTGTCATCTCAGGTTTTGCATTTTGATCAGTTTCTCTGCAGTTACATACAAATATACCATGAGTTGGTCTTACTAAATAAATCTTAACAGTTACTTCACATAATTCCTTTGTGTACTTTCAGCATTGTTAATAAAGCTATTGATATATCTATGAAGTGGATGGATCGTTTCACTTACTCGGAGACTTCAGATGGTAGGCAGTCAGTCGCTGCAGTAACAGAATTGGACTTTGTAGGCTGCCAAATACAGACAAAGAAAATCACTATGCGAGAAGGTGAAAGGGAAAGCATAGAAAAATTGAGAATGGAAGAGCATGATTCTTCTAGTATTTGGTAAAATGAAATAAAAATGCAGTGATCTTTACCCCAGCTCGTCGAATACTAGAAACAGATGCTAAAGTTGCCCGCCTAGAAGGAATTCCAGCAGAATTGCTCTCTGCTTCCTTTGAATTTGTTGCAGTGGGTGCACGTTTGTTAGGATAATTCGAGCGGGATACTGAAGTAACTAATCCATTAGAAGACAATGCATGATGAGCTTTTGCTCCATTTTCTTGGCCATGTTTGACACCATTTTTCAATGGGTGTCCATCGATACTTTTCTTCAAAGCATCAGCATGGTTACCTCTAGCTGGAAATGAAAGGCTCTGGGAGAGGACTTTTGGCTTCTGGTTACGTAAAAATGGAGCCGAGCCTTTTAAATTAGGCTTATCTTTAGCTAGTTTACCATTCTTTGAGAGACCAACATTTGACTTACTCTGCTCCTACATAGATAAAGACAAAACCCACCTTGTAAAGAAGAAATCATATTCTGCTCAATCATGCCATCAAATTAATGGCTAACAACTCAAGCGAGAACCTGAGTTCATGGTACATGATACCTTAAAGGGTTTTGAGATTTTACTTTCTGTGACATCTATAGCAGCTTCAGCTTTGACCCCAGATGAATTAAGACCTTCAGCTTTGGCCACAGTTTCTGAAGGTTCACTTTCATTCAAAACCTTTTCACCACTATCAGAGTTATGTTCCTCTTTCTTTGATTCCATGTCAGACTGTTCCACATCAACTTTCTTAATGACAATACTCTCATCCTCCACTGTAATCCCGTTCTCAGATGCCATGGCGCAACGAAATTCTTATGCAGAGTGAGATGAATATTCTGCAAACAGCAATTTTATACTTGTAAATATCACTAGAAAGCGAAAGGAAATAACAGGTTTATCCTTCAATTCTCATTCTTCCTACACTGACATCTTTTTTCTATCATGTCGCTGTAGCTTTTTTGTTGGTATTTTTATTGATTTTTTACTGGGGCCAGAGGGTGTTGTTTCATTGCTAAATTTAGTTCTGATTTTCTTTGGGTTGTTGTGAATTGTTTCTCACATATATTATCTTCTCAGCTTTACGTATCAAACAAAATCAACAATTAAGGCCGTGTTGGCCAAATCGACCGATGTACTTACACTTCTCATAGACTCTCATATTTTCTCATTAGATCCACGGCAATTGAGCACTAAAACAAACAGAACAAGGCCAAAACCAAGACAAGGAAAGGTTATAAAATTCTTTATACAGAAATTTCCATGTCAAAATGAAGAACCACTAAAATTCCATTTTCAAAGAATCAAAACAAATGAATCCCACCAAAAAAGTTCAGTTTATTCGCAACTCCACGGTTTGTCAACATTCTAAATATAAAAATGCAGATTTTCAAATGAATTTCATCCACACTTTTTCTCTGCAAATTTCATTTGTTCCAGACATAATTATAGGTAACCTTTCAATTTCCTCAACTCCTTACCTCTGTTTTGTTTTTCTCAAACAGTTTCTGAGCAATCAAAAACGAAACCATTCTAGAAATCAATTGAATGAAAAGGCGAAACTCGTGCTACAATTCTTCCATAAACAAAACAGACACCATAACTCAAAAGAATTCCTAATAGATCTCAGACTATACGACCATAAAACAAGAACATCCTTCGACGAAAACTCAATTCAACTCGAAGATCTAACACATTACACCAATTAAACCGTCCAGTAGAAGCAAACGAGCAACAAGTACTTCAAAGAACACAGCGGACGCAAAAAGTTAAAAAAAAGGAAAAGAAAACAGAGAGAAAGAACGCATAAAAATGGAGCCAGGAATCTGCAGAAAACCATACCTGGGTAATCCAGAAAACAGTGAAAGCTCAACAGGAAAACTAAGAACAGAAACCCAAATAAGACGCCGCTGATTCAGAAATGACAAAATCTGAGCCTAAAGCTGTAAATACCGAAACGAGTACATTTGAGATAAGCTCTAGTGGGCGTAGTGACACTGCTTTCTGTTGAAGAAAGAGAAAGAGAGAGAGAAAGGAAGGTTACGCAGGGAATGAAAAGAATATGAGCTTTTCAACGAAGCGGATAGATTTCAGAAGTCGATGAAATTACGAAAATGCCGCTGCCCTTATCAGTAGCTTTTTCGAACTCCTCTTGAATTCTGAATTGTACCGGAGGGAATAGAGAGTGAGGAATTAAATATATTTATTAAAAAAAAAAAACTAATATTTTATTATTATTATTATTTTTTAAAAAACGACAAACCCATAAATAGGAAAATAAATTTTAATTTATTAAAAAATAAAAAAAAAACATCTTTATGTGCTAAATAAAGCTTAAAAATTTGAATACCCATATAAATTTAATAGTTTAAAAATGGGAATACAATCAAATCCCATCTTGAAAATTGAAGATTATGAATTTAATTAGGTGAGCTCTCAAAATCAATTGTCACTAATTAAGAATTAAAGGAGTAAAAGATGTTTTATCTATCTACTTTAAAAATCAACCTACCCATATGATAATCATGCAATCAAATCAAACCCAACCACTAATTACCCATTAGCAAAAAATTGCACTAGGCCCTCGAGAATAATCATTAAATTGTATATGTATGTATATATATATATATATATATATATATATATATATGTGTGTGTCTATGTTTGCAAGTGGAGCAAGGAAGGGCAAAATGGTCATACCAAAAAAAACAAATGAGGAAAATAAAATAATTAATGATTTGCGGAGAATCGAAGGGCAAAATAGTAAATTCGTGACAGCCTAATGATTGAAAGACAACAGACGGCCTACTGTAACAGAACGTGGGAGAAGAGAGAGAGCGTAGTCGATGTGTGGGGCCACAAACGTACAGGTCACAGGTGGGTATGTCCCCCCCTCTCTCTCATGCCCGAGCGCTTGATGACGTGTCAGAACGAAGCAACATGATTGGTTTCCACGTGCCGTCGCTCGGGCCCCACACCACCACCTTCACCAACCGCGCGTGAGCTGTCACAACGTGGAAAAGATTTATTTATTTTTAACCGAGCGGAAGAGGGGATTTGGAGATCAAAATCCTACGTACTCCGACCCGAATCTCGAGGGGAGGTGGGGCCTTTGGGATGAGAGATGGAGAAATCGTGGCCGTTGGATTAGTTTCCACGTTTTTTGACACTCCTGATTTGTTTTCCGTCGGAATTTTGTGGGTGGTACGTTGCATTCGCTAGCAAGCCTGGCCTTCAAGTGTCGCCTTTCGGAAACAGATTTCGACGAGCTTCTCCACGCGCTGGTTTCGAGCACGTGGTTTCACACTCCCCTGATTTGTTTTCTAATCTACTGCAAATTTATTAAATTAATTTTTAAAATTTAATACTTATTGTTTAATATTTTTAATTTACTAAATAATGTAAAATATATTTAAATATTTTTAAAAAAATAAATTTAAATAAATATAATAATTGATTTCTTTAATTAGTAAATGAACTTTCTATTTTCTGTATAAAAACATACAGCATGTATAAATATATATATTATATATATATATATGTATATGTATATGTATATGGTGTGGATGGGGAGGTGGTACTTGGGGTCTGAATGTTTGTCTCAATTATTGGAGAAATGAAAAATAAATTCAAGTGTTTTGCATTTTGCTAAAATGTGCACATGGCACCGTTTTGTCTGACATCATTATATGCAACAACTTATTAACAATATCATTTTTATTTTTGTATAAAATAAAGTTTGTAAACCTATATATACATACATTATATATATATATATGTATAATTGGTTCATGGCTGATGAAATAGGATCTTAAGTTTTTTATGTGTGAATGATATTTTGTTGTCTTCCTTCAATTAAGGTAGAGAGATGCATTGTATCTCCTAGAATCATCAATGTCCTATCAAAATCAAATTAAACAACTTACCTATTCTCTAATTACCACACACACACATATATATATGTATATATGTATATTTGATAGAATATTCATTTTAAACTGTTCTTTTGCTAATAAATGAAATTGGGTATATCCATATATATATATATATATTTATCAGAAATGGAATCGGGTACGTACATATATATATATATATTTTTATATATATACACATGAAATGTTGAGTTGACAATGAGAAAATCCTGTGTTACTTGGAAAAGTAAAATCGACCACTTTGGAAGAATTTCGAGACCATGAGACTAAGAAGCCTGTGATCGTTAATTAAGGAATCATACATCTCTATTATTTACTGGTACTGATCATACTTTGACAATGGTATGAAATCAGTGATCTACCAAAGACCAAATTATAATGAAACAAGAAAAATGAAGAAGAAGAAGAAGAAGAAGAAGAAGAAGAAGAAGAAGAAGAAGCAGAATAAGAAGAAGAAGCAGAAGAAGAAGAAGAAGAAGAAGAAGTAGAAAAATTTCTCATTCCTAACCAATTTCAACAAACTGGTAGTGCCTCCCTAAATCCAATGCTAAAACTTCTACCATGATGATCTCTCTTACCCAATTCAGTATTTCCTTTCTGCATCATTGCCACGAATTCGTTGTAATCTATCCGGCCGTCCTGTAAACAAAAAAGTATTAAGCACAACATACATATGAATGTAGTTATGTATGTATAGTTCATCTACCAGCAGAACTATAAACACATTCAGAGATTTATGCTCATGTAAATTTGGGTTGAAATTATTCAATGGATTTCATACGGGTGTAAACAAGAATCTCTATAATATATTGGAAGTTACTTCTTGGAGTTATATAAATACATAGCTCATCTTTATCAAGAACATTACTAATATCAGTCTTGACTGTCTGTCAGAAAATTTAGAACAATGAAGTTCCCTGATCAGGGAACAGACATGTCCCAAATAAATTAACATGCATGTACTTCTGTTTGGCCTCTTCATTGTCACATCTAACATGTAGAGATATCTCATGGTTTTATGTTTATTACCACTGTTTGAATATATATATATATGTGTGTATGGATAGGAGGATGAGATCTCTATAACTTACATTATCCTGATCAATTTCTCGGATCATGTCTTCCCAGCGAAAATCCTCAATGCCAAACTCCTCACAGGCTTTTTGAAGCTCATCTTGAGTGATGTAGCCACTGCCGTCTTTGTCAAAGTATGAGAAGGCTGCAAAGAGATGATCTTCCCTCTCTATTTTGTTTAAATGCAAAGTTGCAGCTATGAATTCCCCATAGTCAATCGTGCCACTGTTATCTACATCCGCCTGTAATATCAGAACAATCCGGGAAAACTTTACTTAAGATCAAATCAACCCGTCTAAGAAGTGTAACATGCAGGAATAAAACATTCAGATGTGAAACTAATCTTACGGCTTGCATTAGATCATAAATTTCGGATTCATGAAGATTGGCCCCGAACCTTTTTAGACCAACCTTCAGTTCCTCAAATGTTATTTGACCACTATTATCTGTGTCTATCATCTTGAACATTTCCTTTAACCCGGCAATTTCTTCTTCAGAAAGGCTCTCTGCAATGACCTGTAAACAATTGTATAGAAAAAGAAACGCTTAGACAAGTACTATTTCCTCAGTATTATTATAAATTTGTGTACTTGAAGAATCTTCTTGGGAGCCATTGCTCTTTTTAAGATCAACTTTACAGTAACTTACTCTGAGAGCCATCCTTTTGAGCTTGTTCATGGCAGAAAACTGCTTCAAACGACTCAAGACAGCAGAATCAAGAGGCTTATCAGGAGCCACTCCGTCAACCTGTACCCAAGGATGGCCTACAAGGAACCAGAACAAAGTATTACTCAGACATGGCTATCCTGATTCATTCATTCAAATTTCAAATGCTGATATGAAAATGATTCGGAACTACTGGTTGAATCATATTAGTTGGATAAAAAAGAGTCAAGCTAAAGAGGAAATGACAAATAGAACATTATTGCTCACATAAAACTTCGTGAGCAGTTAATCGTTTTCTAGGATCTCTAACAAGCATCCTCTTGACTAAATCTTTTGCACTTTCGGAGATGCTTGGCCAGGGATCTGATGTGAAGTCAAGGTCACCATGCAAAACCTCTTCAAATATTTCTTGTTCGGTCTCTGTATCAATATTGAAAGGGAAGAACACGTGCATAAGGTATAAAAGTAGCACAGATAAATAAATCTATCAAGCAGCGAACATAGAGTTCCTTACCTCCCCAGAATGGAGGTACACCACTTAAGAGAATGTAAATGATCACTCCTACACTCCAAACATCTGCTTCTGGACCATATCGCTTGCGCAGAACTTCAGGTGCAACATAATATGGGCTTCCAACTACATCCGAGAAAATATCTCCTGCAAATTGAATACTTTGAATAATAATCTAGACAAACCAAGAACAAGAAAACAACAGCATAGGGGATCTATAGGTTTTTTTATCTTAGTATATCACAAGCAGAGGAAATTTGGTCAAATATATTTACGGTCACCCAGGAATATCCTCAACATTATTTTTTTGAGAGGGAACAAGAAACTGATAAAAAAGGCACAAGGAAGATGTCATTTGCAACTCTTATAAAGAGAAAAAATCAATAAGATTGCCAAAATCAACCCTGTCAAACATGGAATGACACTTATAAAAAATATGAAGGGTTCTACGCCAATGACTCTAGATTGAAGCAACAAGAAGAAGAGGATTTTTCAGAAGCTCAGTTGTTTTCTTTTCCTAAGTAAGATGGTGTGGAGAATGATGCATAAAAATTCTCAAAAATTTATGTCAGATATGTAAACATGAATAAGTTTCACCTAATAGGAAAAAAACTCGATTTAGATTCAATAAATACTCAATGTTGAACACAATTAAGAATAACATAATGTGAATTAATGAAGTCAAGCACTTATGTAAAAAAATCAACTCACGATTAAAACTTATCTCAAACAAATAGGTTGACTGAAATGGAAAAGAACAACTAATACAGAACAATACAAAAGCTTAACAAATTAGAAGACAGAGGAAGGATTTTGACATACCGGGTTTAAAGAAGATTGATAATCCAAAATCAATTGCTTTAAGGGGTGAGTCCTCCTCCTCATTGATAAAAAGGAAATTCTCAGGCTTAAGATCCCGGTGCATGACACCCAAGGAATGGCAGGTTTCCACTACACCAACTAGAGTCCTAGCTAAATTAGCTGCCTTTCTTTCCGAGTAATGCCCCCTTTTAAAAATCCTGTCAAACAGCTCACCTCCTGCACACAACTCCATCACAACATGAACTGCCACCGAATCCTCATAAGCTCCTTTTATGGAAATGACATTGGAGTAGCCTGACAAGTGATGCATTATCTGAATTTCCCTTCTCACATCTTCAACATCTTCATGCGTCAACAATTTCCTTTTCGCAATTGATTTGCAAGCATACTCTTTGCCTGTTCCTTTCTCCGTGCAAAGGAAAGTTGTCCCAAACTGCCCATTTCCTAATTTTCTCCCCAAGCTATAATATTCCTTCAAATGACCCGTTTTCCTTTGTAATACGGACTCTGCCTGCAGCCCTGCACTTGACATCCTCCTAACATTATGAGGCTTCTTAGGCTTTGCAGCAGGTGCTGGACTGGTTGATTTAATCGCTTCTGTTGGTATTGCTTGTTGTTGTGGTGCAGTCTCTGGCTTATCTTGTTGTTTTGCTTCTGGTTTACTCTCATCCTTTGCTGATTCAGGCTCAGCTTCTTCCATGGTTTTTGGAGGCTGTGCTGGTTTGATATCTATTTCCACTATCTTCATCTGCTCCGGAGGCGTGTGCTGGAGTGTTAGATGGGTTTCTGGATCTGTCTTAGCAGGCTCCCTTTCATCTTTGATTCCCTTATCACCATGAGTTGACCACCATAACGAATGTGTGATTGAGTGGAAGAATCCTTCTTTTGAGGCCCTTGATCCAACGCAATTGCTTCCCATATGAACACAAGCGTTTCCCATTTAAAGTAAATTCTCTATCTTCTTCCTACTCAACTCTCTCCACATTACACACTAACCATACCTGCAAGTCCTTTCTTCATTTCCATACAAACATTGATCTTTTTTTATCTTTTCCGGGACAAGAAATCGAAAGTTAAAGCTCAACCACCGAGAAAATTTTAAAGTACTCCATGGAAACATACCCTTTTTTTCATCAAACACCTTGAAAGCAAGAATATACGAATTTCCAAAAGCAGAACATCACAGGACATGAATCAGCATGCAAAAATAATTCCTGTCAAAGAACACAACAGGAACCAAATAATCCAAAGCCTTTCTTCTCATCCTTCAATCTCTTCATAATAAATGCACATAAATAAAACGATCAACAACAGAAACTTCGACGAAATCCAACACTAAATTTGACGAATTCTAAAGTTAAATCAATCGTGTGACTGGGCAAACCGTGAGACCGACCTTCTAATGATCATGACGGGGAAAAGGAGTGCATATTAAAAGAATGAGATAAGAAAGAGACATTATATCGAAGAAGAAGAGAAATTACATCTCCTTTTATATTCGCAGAAAATGTCTTCGGTTTACCAGGTCTAGATGACAATGATGCTTTCGTTTTGGTGGGAATATCGAAAAAGATTCGGTAGGGTTTTTTGATATTTTTTATGCGCGCGCGTGTATAACATCCAGAGATATGTATATTTTTTATTTTCTATCCCCCTTTCTTTTTCCTGGAAAGTTCACGAAACGGGAAAGATAATGGAAGAGGGAAGAGGGGAAGACAGGTTTTTCTGTTGGAATCGATCCAAAAGTCGTAGAAAATTTTATAAATGACGCGTTTTAGGGGGTATCTATTACAATGCGGACAGCAGCACACAAATAATCAGCATTTGCCGTACGATCTGATCTTCGAGCGATGATCTTCAAGATGTTCGGCTATGATCTTTTCATGGGAATGCTTTTCATGTGAAGACCCCAAATCCGGTTTTATACCGCCGGCGGCCAGCCGGTTTTCGCCGGTTCTTTAAATAATTAGAAATTAATCACTGATTAATTTAATCTTTTTGGAGTTAACGATAGTAATCTTATTTTTTAAATACATATATTTTTTTTAATTAGAAAGAATATATATAAACATGGGTTCATATTTTAATTGGGTTATATAAAAAATTGCCACCGGATTTTAGTTATTATGATTTGGCAGCTAAATTCTGGTAGCAATTTTTGGGATTCTCTAATTTTCTTAGAAGAGTAAAAATAATTATAATCCAACATACATTTTTGTTACATATTTTTAAAATGAGTAATTTTGAACTACCATAAAATATATATGATTCAAATATTACATATACTTTTTTTTATTCATATTTTGGGAAATTTAAATTTAAATGATCTACTAAAATAAATTACTGGCAAAAGAAAAATAAGTTATTTGACCATCATCTCTCACAATTCATGCACGTACGCTCCCATGTGTTTGTCTCATACAATTGTATTGAATGATTCCAGCCGTTTAGTTTCTATTCTTACATTGCATACAACTTTGATCAGGCCAGTTCCATGGCTCCATATGAATTTGCAGCTTTCGATCCTTTTAACCCTGTTCTTGATCCAATGTACTCTTGTAATATTCTTCATGGCTTGTTTGAAAATATCTAATTTACAGGGTCATTGGCGCATTACGAGGGGGACGATAATAGATCCGGGTATTTGGGAGTTACGAAGGTGTATTCAGAGTTCGTATCATCTTTTCCGGCTTGTGCTTCATAACTATCTGAAATTCTCCAAACTTTGATGATAAGAACCATCTCGTCCGCTGGTTAAATGAGATCCTGTTTCAATTCTATAACGACAAAAACACAAACCAAGAGAGTTGAAAGTCACAACTGGCTTGCTTCACTTGTAATGACTAATAGCCTTTTATTAGTTCTTGGACGGATAACTAGAATTGTGCCGTATCCATGTTTCACGGCCTAATCTCCATTAATAAGCTATAACTATAACTAGCACGAACACAGACTAGAAAAGAACAGTGCTCTGAAACTGAACCGTAATAGAAATTAAAATTGGGTAACGCATTTGTAAGCAACCATTCCTCCCCTGTAAAGTATGTTAACTTTCTTCTAAATTGAAGAAAAACAACATACAGACAATTATAGCAGCATAATTCTAGGTAAGGAAATTCTTCAAACAAACCATTTCTAAACGTCTTTCGCC